CCCCCTTAGCCATCCCACAAACCCCCACCTCCCCCAAAAAAAACCAGCACCTGCCCAATCAAAAGTAAAACAAAAAACAGTATCCACCCCAACCCGCCCATCCGTTTCACCCCCACTCTCCCAAAACCCCCCTAAACACCAAACCCAGGCCGTAATCTTACCCCACCCAAAAAGCACATAAATAAACCACCACAATTATAAAAAAAACCTAAAAACCAAATCAACTCAACAACCCCTGCATAATAAGGTACTCACGTACACCAAAAATAACATAACTCACCTCAAACCTCCAACCTCCCTCCCCCCCAAAATTAACCATCTATTTCTAATAACCCAACCAGAAATCAAAACATAAAACAAAAAATTAACCCCAACTATCACACGTCCCCTCCTCCCACTCAACCCTATAAAATAATCAAACAACCCTCAAACAAACACACACGTAATCCCCACACCCATCCATAAAAAACAAAAAACACCCATATAACACAAACAACTCAAACACCACACCACCCCTACACCGGGGCCCCATAAAAGTAACATAACCAACCCCCAAAACACCCATTATCCCAATGACCCGCCAACCCTGAATCTCACTCACAAACCCGGGCACCCCCCCCTTCCCCCACCCGTCAATAATCCCACTATCAAAACCAACAGCTCCCTCCCCTACCTCACACACACCCTCGCTACCGGCAGAAGCTCTAATGCACCACCCTAATAGAAATGTAAATACACAACCCAATCCAATACGACCAAAACCCCATCCCAGGGCCCCACCTTATTTTGTAAAACCCATGCCCCCCCCCACCACCACTATCCCCCCCCTTATGCATTATCCTTTACCCCCCACCCTACAAACCCTAAAAACTAATCCCCCCCCCCGCCCCCCACCCACCGGCGTGAACGAATGTTTTCCACCAAAGCCCCCCGTTCCCCTTATCATTCTACCCAAACACCCCCATCAGCCCCTCACCCCGTCCCACCCCAAATTTTTGGGGGGTCCCAAAAAAAATGTTTAAACCCCCAAACAATGGTAATCCAAAAAATATAATGGGCACCAAGAAAAAAAAATAAACTATTAACAGTGTGGAGTAAGTACCCCAACCAGGTAGTAGTATAAAAAACCCGGTCCCGCCCTACTATGGAAATAAACCCAGATCAACTATATCTGTACCAGGGGGAATCGTTGGCATAAACAATGGTTATGGGTTCCCAATCCACCCACCCCCCCACCACAATTAACCCATAATACCACCACCCCCCTCCACCCCGCCGCATTTAAGCCCCAGCCCCTACCAACCAAACATCCCCACAGACCCAATAAAGACGCAAGACTATCACAAGAAAAACAACCAACCACAACAACAGCAAAATAAAAACCCCCCCAGTACCCACGTACCAACGTAAATTCCATACCAGACATCAAAACAACTGATCACCACAATAATAAAAATAAAAAAACAGAAAGAAACCCCCTCACCGCCCCCCCCGCCCCCCTCACCCCAAACTAACCGTTCAAAATACCCACCCACAAAGTGGCCCCCCAAGCAAATCCAAGAAGGGACTCCGTACACAGCATAGAAAACAAAACAACTCCCCCCTCCCCCACTGAACACGAAATCCAGAAACCAACTCTCCCCCGGAGCCTCCCCCTTCCCCCCACCACTACCGCGGTGAAACAGGTGGTCCAAAACCCCAACCCAACACCCTCCCGCACCTTCCCAGCCCCCAACATTTAGGGGCATGGTACTCCCCCCCCCAACCTCCCGTTCACCAAGACAAACCACAACCCCCGGTATATCCAAAACCCCCAGAATGCACCGCCTCCACCACCGACGTCACATAAAAAAATAATTATTCTCAGACATTTTATCCCCCACAAAAACTCCCTCCCCCTCCGACCTCCTCATTTTGTCACATACAAAAAAACCCCCCAATCAAAAACAACAAAAAAATGAAAAAAAACACCCCACCAAAACACAACAAAAAACCACACTCGCCCCTGAGCCTACCCAGACCAACCTATACCAAAAACAACAAAACAAAAATTCCCAAAGATAAAGAAACCCCCCAACCCTCCCACCCAATAACAAAAACAAGAAAACCAGTACCCCCCAATAACGAGTCCCGCCGAGTGGGGGGTCTTGGGGGGTGTGACCCCACCCCACCCCCACACCCCCCCCCACCCACCCCCTCAATTTGGCCAAATGTGTCCCACCAATGTCCGCCCCCTACCCCCCAAACCAGGTGAGTAAAAGTATGCAGGCTCACATGTGTTCACCCCCAGTAACCACCCCCTGACAACCAAACCCCGGTCATAGCCCTTCCCCACTACGACAAACGTCCCCTATAATTCCACACAACCCTACAAACCCAAAACACCCCCCCACCCCCCCCCCCCCCCCCTGCCCCCAACACCGCCCCCCACATCCCCCCCCACCCCCCCCCCCCCACCCCCCCCCCCCCCCCCCCACCCCCCCCCCCCCCCCCCCCCCCACCCCCCCCACCCCCCTCCCCCCCCCCCACCCCCGCCCCCTCCCCCCCACCCCCCCACCCCCCCCCCCCCCCCCCCCGCACACCCCCCCCCCCCCCCCCCACCCCCACACCCCGCCAACCCCCCCCCACCCCCTCCCCCCCCACCCCCATTACCCCCCCCCCCCCCCAAAACCCCCCCCCCCCCCCACCCCCCCCCCCCCCCACCCTCACCAACCCCCCCCACCACCCCCCACCCCTTCCCACCCCCCCTCCCACCCCCCCCCACCTCCCCCCCACACCCCACCCACTCCCCCCACCACCCCCCCCACCCCCACCCACCCCCCCCCCCCCCCCCCCCTCCACCCCCACCCCACCTCCACGTAGATTCACACTATATTGCCCCAAGTATTGTCCCCGACCCCCCCAGTATATACACAATTGCCCCAGGTATTGACCCCCCCCCCCACACACTATATTGCCCCAAGTATTGTCCCCCCCCCCGTATATACCATTAATTGCCCCAAGTATTGTCCCCGCCCCCCCCCCGTATATACACTATATTGCCCCAAGTTTTCCCCACCCCCCCTATATAATAATTGGCCCTTTCCACGCACCTATTTATGGCACCCCCCAAGTCTTAGTCCGTAGGGTTCAGTATTGATGTTGGGGCCCCGCCCCTTCCACACACATGACTTTTAATGGTCCCCCCCCCCCCCAGTCTTAGTCCGTAGGGTTTAATATTGAGTTGGCCCCGCCCTTTTCACGCATCTTAGTCCGTAGGGTTCAATATTGAGTTGGCCCCACCCTTTCCACCACACATGACCTTTTAATGGCCCCCCAGTCTTAGTCCGTAGGGTTCAATATTGAGTTGGCCCCGCCCTTTCCACACACATGACCCTTTAATGGCCCCCCAGTCTTAGTCCGTAGGGTTTAATATTGAGTTGGCCCCCGCCCTTTCCACACACGTGACCTTTAATGGCCCCCCAGTCTTAGTCCGTAGGGTTCAGTATTGAGTTGGCCCCGCCCCTTCCCACACATGACCTTTAATGGCCCCCCAGTCTTAGTCCGTAGGGTTTAATATTGAGTTGGCCCCGCCCTTTCCACGCACATGACCTTTAATGGCCCCCCAGTCTTAGTCCGTAGGGTTCAGTATTGAGTTGGCCCCGCCCTTTCCACACACATGACCTTTAATGGCCCCCCGCCCTTTCCACACACATGACCTTAGTCCGTAGGGTTCAGTATTGAGTTGGCCCCGCCCTTTCCACACCCACATGACCTTTAATGGCCCCCCAGTCTTAGTCCGTAGGGTTCAGTATTGAGTTGGCCCCCCCCTTTCCACACACATGACCTTTAATGGCCCCCAGTCTTAGTCCGTAGGGTTCAATATTGAGTTGGCCCCGCCCTTTGCAGCTATAACAGCTTCAACTCTTCTGGGAAGGCCGTCCACAAGGTTTAGGAGGGGGTGTCTATAGGATGGTTGGACCATTCTTCCAGAAGCACATTTGTCAGGTCAGGCACTGATGTCGGGGGAGGGGCACTGATGTCGGGGGAGGAGGCCTGGCTCGCAGTCTCCGCTCTCATTCATCCCAAAGGTGTTCTATGGGGTTGAGGTCAGGACTCTGTGCAGGACAGTCAAGTTCCTCCACCCCAAACTGGCTCCTCCATGTCTTTATGGACCTTGCTTTGTGCTCTGGTGGGCAGTCATGTTGGAGCAGGAAGGAAGGGGCCATCCCCAAACTCTTCCCACAAAGTTGGGAGCAGGATATTGTCCAAAATGTCACCTTAAGAGTTCCCTTCACTGGAACTAGGGGGCCAAGCCCAACCCCTGAACAATAACCCCCACACCATAATCCCCCCCCTCCACCAAACGTTACACTTGGCACAATGCAGTCAGGTAAGTACCGTTCTCCTGGCCACCGCCAAACCCAGACACGTCCCATCGGATGGCCAGATAGAGAAGCGTGATTGGTCACTCCAGAGAACACGTCTCCACTGCTCTAGAGTCCAGTGGCGGCGTGCTTTACACCACGGCATCCGACGCTTTGCATTGCACTTGGTGATGGAAGGCTTGGATGCAGCTGCTCGGCCATGGAAACCCATTCCATGAAGCTCTCTACGCACTGTTGTTGGGGCTCATCTGAAGGCCACACCAAGTTTGGAGGTCTTTAGCTATTGACTCTGCAGACAGTTGGCGACTTCTGCGCACTGTGCGCTTCAGCATGCGCTGACCTCGCCCTGTCATGTGACGTGGCCTACCACTTGGTGGCTGAGTGGCTGTTGTTCCCAGTTGCTTCCACTTTGTTATAATCCCACTAACAGTTTGAGCGTGGAATATTTAGTAGCCAGGAAATGTCACGGATGGACTTATTGCCCAGGTGGCCACCTATCACGGGACCACGCTTGGAGTCACTGAGCTCCTGAGAGCGACCCATTCTTTCACCAATGTTTGTAGTAGCCGTCTGCATGCCTAGGGGCTTGATTGTATACACCTGTGTCCATGGAGGGGATTGGAGCACCTGAATCACATGATATGGAGGGGATTGGGACACCTGAATCACATGACATGGAGGGGATTGGGACACCTGAATCACATGATATGGAGGGGATTGGAACACCTGAATCACATGATATGGAGGGGATTGGAACACCTGAATCACATGATATGGAGGGGATTGGAACACCTGAATCACATGATATGGAGGGGATTGGAACACCTGAATCACATGATTGGGAACGGATTGGATCACATGATATGGAGGGGATTGGAACACCCGAATCACATGATATGGAGGGGATTGGAACACCCGAATCACATGGTATGGAGGGGATTGGAACACCCGAATCACATGATATGGAGGGGATTGGAACACCCGAATCACATGATATGGAGGGGATTGGAACACCCGAATCACATGATATGGACCCGAATCACATGATTGGGAGGGGATTGGAACACCCGAATCACATGATTGGGAGGGGATTGGAACACCCGAATCACATGATACGGAGGGGATTGGAAACACCCTAATTACATGATACGGAGGGGATTGGAACACCCTAATCACATGATATGGAGGGGATTGGAACACCACCTCTACTACTCTACTACTACGCCACCTCCACTACACTGCTACTGCGCAACCTCTACTACACTACTACTACGCCACTACTACTACACCACCTCCACTACACTACTACTACACCACCTCTACTACACTGCTACTACACCACCTCTACTACACTTCTACTACACTACTACTACTACACCACCTCCACTACACTTCTTCTACTACACTACTACTACACCACCTCCACTACACTACTACTACACCACCTCTACTACACTGCTACTAACTACGCAACCTCTACTACACTACTACTACTACACTGCTACTACGCAACCTCTACTACTACACCACCGCTACTACGCAACCTCTACTACACTACTACTACACCACCTCTACTACACTACTACTACACCACCTCTACTACACTACTACTACACCACCTCTACTACACTACTACTACTACTACTACTACACCACCTCCGCTACACTGCTACTACACCACCTCCGCTACACTGCTACTACACCACCTCCACTACACTGCTACTACGCCACCTCCACTACACTGCTACTACGCCACCTCCACTACACTGCTACTAACACCCTCCACTACACTGCTACTACACCACCTCTACTACACTGCTACTACACCACCTCTACTACACTGCTACTACGCAACCTCTACTACACTACTACTACGCAACCTCTACTACACCTCCTACTACTACACCACTACTACACTACTACTACGCCACCTCTACTACGCAACCTCTACTACTACACCACCTCTACTACACCACCGCTACTACACCACCTCTACTACACTACTACTACACCACCTCTACTACACTACTACTACACCACCTCTACTACACTACTACTACACTGCTACTACACCACCTCCACTACACTGCTACTACACCACCTCCACTACACTGCTACTACACCACCTCTACTACACTACTACTACACTACTACTACACCACCTCTACTACACTACTACTACACCACCTCTACTACACCACCTCCACTACACTGCTACTACGCCACCTCTACTACACTGCTACTACGCCACATCTACTACACCACTACAACACTGCTACTACACTACTACTCCAGTGATCTCCAGTTGCCTCTGGGTGGTGTTCCGAGTGATTGGCCGGATGCATTGTGATCTCAGGTGATCATGTGACCCGGCCGCCAGTCAATGAATGTGATGTATTTTCTAAATAAAGGCAAAATGCTGTGTGAATGAGGTGGACGGTGTGATGTCATTGGACGTGGCGGACAGGCGGGGCAATCAGAGCGTGCTCTGCATTCATTCAGAAAGTCCAAAGCGTTCTCTGAATGGTGCCGAGTGGCCAACCCCCCCCCCCCCCCCCACCAGGATGGCAGCTGTTCAGCACAAGACCAAATGGAGATCGGTGTAGTAGCAGAGGTGTAGTAGCAGTGTATCAGAGGTGTAGTAGCAGTGTATCAGAGGTGTAATAGAGGTGTAGTAGCAGTGTATCAGAGGTGTAGCAGCGGTGTAGTAGTGGTGTATCAGAGGTGTAGTAGCAGTGTATCAGAGGTGTAGTAGCAGTGTATCAGAGGTGTAGCAGCGGTGTAATAGTGGTGTATCAGAGGTGTAGCAGAGGTGTAGTAGCAGTGTATCAGAGGTGTAGCAGAGGTGTAGTAGCAGTGTATCAGAGGTGTAGTAGCAGTGTAGTAGCAGTGTAGCAGCGGTGTAGCAGCGGTGTAGCAGAGGTGTAGCAGAGGTGTAGTAGCGGTGTAGCAGAGGTGTAGTAGCAGTGTAGCAGAGGTGTAGTAGCAGTGTATCAGAGGTGTAGCAGAGGTGTAGTAGCAGTGTATCAGAGGTGTAGCAGAGGTGTAGTAGCAGTGTAGTAGCGGTGTAGCAGAGGTGTAGTAGCAGTGTATCAGAGGTGTAGCAGCGGTGTAATAGTGGTGTATCAGAGGTGTAGTAGCAGTGTATCAGAGGTGTAGCAGAGGTGTAGTAGCAGTGTATCAGAGGTGTAGTAGCAGTGTATCAGAGGTGTAGTAGCAGTGTAGCAGAGGTGTAGCAGAGGTGTAGTAGCAGTGTAGCAGAGGTGTAGCAGAGGTGTAGTAGCAGTGTATCAGAGGTGTGTAGCAGCGGTGTAGTAGTGGTGTATCAGAGGTGTAGCAGAGGTGTAGTAGCGGTGTATCAGAGGTGTAGCAGAGGTGTAGTAGCAGTGTAGTAGCGGTGTAGCAGAGGTGTAGTAGCAGTGTATCAGAGGTGTAGCAGCGGTGTAATAGTGGTGTAGCAGAGGTGTAGCAGAGGTGTAGTAGCAGTGTATCAGAGGTGTAGCAGGAGGTGTAGTAGCAGTGTATCAGAGGTGTAGTAGCAGTGTATCAGAGGTGTAGTAGCAGTGTAGCAGAGGTGTAGTAGCAGTGTAGCAGAGGTGTAGCAGAGGTGTAGTAGCAGTGTAGCAGAGGTGTAGCAGAGGTGTAGTAGCAGTGTATCAGAGGTGTAGCAGCGGTGTAGTAGTGGTGTATCAGAGGTGTAGCAGAGGTGTAGTAGCAGTGTATCAGAGGTGTAGCAGAGGTGTAATAGTGGTGTATCAGAGGTGTAGCAGAGGTGTAGTAGCAGTGTATCAGAGGTGTAGTAGCAGTGTAGTAGCAGTGTATCAGAGGTGTAGTAGCAGTGTAGCAGAGGTGTAGTAGCAGTGTATCAGAGGTGTAGTAGCAGTGTATCAGAGGTGTAGCAGAGGTGTCAGAGGTGTAGCAGTAGCAGTGTATCCGAGGTGTAGCAGCGGTGTAGTAGTGGTGTATCAGAGGTGTAGTAGCAGGTGCAGCAGAGGTGTAGCAGAGGTGTAGTAGCAGTGTATCCGAGGTGTAGCAGCGGTGTAGTAGTGGTGTATCAGAGGTGTAGCAGAGGTGTAGTAGCAGTGCAGCAGAGGTGTAGTAACAGTGTATCCGAGGTGTAGCAGCGGTGTAGTAGTGGTGTATCAGAGGTGTAGTAGCAGTGCCTACTTCAGTTTTTTCCAGCTTCCAGGAGCACCAGCGATGGTATAGACATGGCTGGTCCAAGCTGAAGCGATGAAACTGCATGAAATATCCGGAGCTGGAATTCCTCTCTGATGGAATCGGGACGGGGGACCTGTGACATCACGGTTTTGGAATTGTGACATCACAGCGCCACCTCTATTGATTCCTTGTGTTATCAGTGGATCTCTCGCCCTCACATTGCCTCCTCCTGTCTTCCCAGATCTTCAGCCTGGACCTGGGCGGCATCTCCACCGTCGTCCTGAATGGTTACGATGCGGTGAAGGAGTGTCTGGTGCGCCAGAGTGATGTCTTCGCTGATCGCCCGTCCCTCCCGCTCTTCCTGAAGATGACCAAGATGGGAGGCAAGTATCAGAACCCCCTACAGTGTGCCCTCCGGAACCGGTCCAACCCCAAACCCAAACACAGGATAGTGAGAGAGAACAAACGCTTCATCCAACGTCCAATCAGAGCCTCTGGTTTATAGACCGGATACATCCTAAATATAGAGCCATTCATCCAACCGTCCAATCAGAGCCTCTGGTTTATAGACCAGATACATCCTAAATATAGAGCCATTCATCCAACTGTCCAATCAGAGCTTCTGGTTTATAGACCGGACACATCCTTAATATAGAGCCATTCATCCACCGTCCAATCAAGCCTCTGGTTTATAGACCGGACACATCCTTAATATAGAGCCATTCATCCAACTGTCCAATCAGAGCCTCTGGTTTCTAGTCCATAGGTACAGAGGAAGCCGTAGATTTGGACCCAGTAAGGTATTTACAGACCTCCATTCTCGTATTTCAGGTCTTTTGAACGCCAAGTACGGCCGCTGTTGGACGGAGCACCGGAAGTTGGCGGTGAGCTGCTTCCGTAACTTTGGTTATGGTCAGAAGTCCTTCGAGAGCAGAATTTTGGAAGAGTCCTTCTTCTTCCTGGACGCCGTGGACACCTATAAGGGGAAAGCGTTCGATCCCAAACACCTGATCACCATCGGCGTCTCCAACATCTCCAACCTCATCCTGTTCGGGGAGCGCTTCCGGTACGACGACGACGAGTTCCTGCACATGATGGAGATCTTCAGTGAGAACATTGAGCTGGCCACCAGCGCCTGGGTCTTCCTCTACAACGCCTTCCCACTCATCGGCTTCCTGCCCTTCGGCAAGCACCAGCAGCTGTTTAAGAATGCCGATGAGGTCTACGACTTCCTGCTGAGGATCATCGATCGCTTCTCCGAAAACCGCAAACCGCATTCGCCGCGGCATTTCATCGACGCCTATCTGGATGACATGGAGAAGAATGCCGCGGATCCGAACAGCACATTGTCCACAGAGAACCTGATCTTCTCAGTCGGAGAGCTGATCATTGCCGGGACTGAGACCACCACCAATGTCCTACGCTGGGCCATCCTCTTCATGGCTCTCTACCCCAACATCCAAGGTGGGCGTCTCTTCTGACAGTCAAATACTTTGTGAAGAAATGGGCAGTGCTTAGGTTTCCCTGGTCTTCACAAGGAGTTCCCACCATCATTGTGCTGAGTTCCCGGGTCTGTACACCCGCTGTGCCCATTTATGAGGGGTTCCCTCCATCCCCATGTGCAGTTCCCAGGTCTGTACGCCCGCTGTGCCCATTGTGAGGGGTTCCCACCATCCCTGTGCCGAGTTCCCGGGTCTGTACACCCGCTGTGCCCATTATGAGGGGTTCCCTCCATCCCTGTGCCGAGTTCCCGGGTCTGTACACCCGCTGTGCCCATTATGAGGGGTTCCCACCATCCCTGTGCCGAGTTCCTGGGTCTGTACACCAGCCCCATTATGGGGTTCCCACCATCCCTGTGCCCATTATGAGGGGTCCCCACCATCCCTGTGCCCTGAGAGGTCCCCCACCATCCCTGTGCCCATTCTGAGAGGTTCCCACCATTCCTGTGCCCATTATGAGGGTTCCCACCATTCCTGTGCCCATTATGAGGGGTTCCCTCCATCTCTGTGCCCATTATGAGGGGTTCCCTCCATCTCTGTGCCCATTATGAGGGGTTCCCACCGTCCCTTCCCATTATGAGGGGTTCCCTCCATCTCTGTGCCCATTATGAGGGATTCCCACCATCCCTGTGCCCATTCCCCTGTGCCCATTATGAGAGGTTCCCACCATCCCTGTGCCCATTATGAGGGGTTCCCTCCATCTCTGTGCCCATTATATGAGAGTTTCCCACCATCCCTGTGCCCATTATGAGAGGTTCCCCCGGTCTGCCCATTATGAGAGGTTCCCACCATCCCTGTGCCCATTATGAGGGGTTCCCACCCATCCTCTGTCCCATTACCCACCCCCTGTGCCATTATGAGGGGTTCCCACCATCCCTGTGCCCATTAATGAGAGGTTCCCACCATCCCTGTGCCCATTATGAGGGGTTCCCACCATCCCTGTGCCCATAATGAGGGGTTCCCACCATCCCTGTGCCCATAATAGGGGTTCCCACCATCCCTGTGCCCATATATGAGAGGTTCCCACCATCCCTGTGCCCATAATGAGGGGTTCCCACCATCCCTGTGCCCATTAATGAGGGGTTCCCACCATCCCTGTGCCCATATGAGGGGTTCCCACCATCCCCTGTCCCGGGTCCACCCGCTGTGCCCATTATGAGGGGTTCCCACCATCCCTGTCCCTGAGGTTCCCCCATCCCTGTGACCATTATGAGAGGTTCCCACCATCCCTGTGCCCATTATGAGGGGTTCCCACCATCCCTGTGACCATTATGAGAGGGGTTCCCACATCCCTGTGCCCATTATGAGGGGTTCCCACCATCCCTGTTGCCCATTATGAGGGGTTCCCACCATCCCTGTGACCATTATGAGGGGTTCCCACCATCCCTGTGCCCATTATGAGGGGTTCCCACCATCCCTGTGCCCATGATGAGGGGTTCCCTCCATCTCTGTGCCCATTATGAGAGGTTCCCACCATCCCTGTGCCCATTATGAGGGGTTCCCTCCATCTCTGTGCCCATTATGAGGGGTTCCCACCATCCCTGCACTAAGAATTAGAGGTACAACGTGATAGGTTTCCTTTAATCCTGACTCGGGTATCTTGCTGGAAAATGATTTTATTCTTTGCTGTTTTCTTAGGTCAGGTCCAGAAAGAGATCGATTCTGTAGTTGGACCGAACCGTATCCCGACCTTTGAAGACCGCCTGGCCATGCCGTACACCGAGGCCGTCCTCCACGAGATCCTGCGATTCTGTAACATCGCCCCGCTGGGCATTTTCCACGCCACGTCCAGAGACACTGTGGTCAGGGGGTACTCCATCCCCGAGGGCACCACCGTCATCACCAACCTCTACTCTGTGCACTTCGACCAGAAATATTGGACCAATCCGGAGATCTTCTACCCGGAGAGGTTCCTGGACAGCAGCGGCCAGTTCCTGAAGAAGGAGGCGTTCGTCCCGTTCTCTCTGGGTGAGACCTAAAGAGAGCCAATCAGGGCAGGCCTTCTGTGAAACGCGTCGGAGTTTTATATGTCTTGTTGTGATAGAACGCCGATATGGACCCCGTGGTGCCGAGCGGATGCCAATATGCGGCCCGGGGGGGGGGGGGGCTGAGATTTTTTTTTTGTTGGGTCGCATATTTGCGTACAGAGACCGGGGTCTCCCCAGGCGTCCTGGATCTCGTACCAACAATCGGAGCCCAAAACTCCAGGTTCTGGGTCAGCCTCTGATTGGCTGCCATTTTTAATGGTTGAATGGTTTTTCAGCCAAACTGGAAGGGGGGGGAGCGTCCGGAGTAGAAGGGGGGGTGGGGGGAGCGTCCGGACCGAAAGGGGGGAGAAGCGTCCGGACCGGAAGGGGGAGGGGAAAGCGTCCGGACCGGAAGGGGGGGGGAAAGCGTCCGGACCGGAGGGGGAGGGGGAAAGCGTCCGGACCGGAAGGGGGGGGGGGAGAGCGTCCGGACCGGAAGGGGGGGGGAGAGCGTCCGGACCGGAAGGGGGGGTAGGGGAGAGCGTCCGGACCGGGGGTAGGGGGTAGGGGAGAGCGTCCGGACCGGAAGGGGGTAGGGGAGAGCGTCCGGACCGGAAGGGGGTAGGGGAGAGCGTCCGTCCGGACCGGAAGGGGGGGAGAGCGTCCGGACCGGAAGGGGGTAGGGGAGAGCGTCCGGACCGGAAGGGGGTAGGGGAGAGCGTCCGGACCGGAAGGGGGTAGGGAGAGAGCGTCCGGACCGGAAGGGGGTAGGGGAGAGCGTCCGGACCGGAAGGGGGGAGAAGCGTCCGGACCGGAAGGGGGGGGGAAATATCCGGAGTGGAAGGGGGGGGAACGTCCGGACTGAAATGGGGGGGAAAGTGTCCGGACTTGAGGTAAACAAAAAAAGAACATTTTGACTTTAGATGCTCTTTAACCCCTTGGTGCCTGGCACCTCCCGGCCCTTTAGGGGTTTCAGAAGCCAGGGCGGGGTTTTCTAGGGTCATGTGACTGCCGTGATTCGCTATCACGGTGGTCACATGATCGGGAAAGGTCCCGATCGAAAGAGGAGATCGGGACCTTTCCGTGAGTACCGCACATGTGTGCTGGGAGCTAGAACGCAAATGTGTGGCCGCTCGGTGTCTAGGCCCAGAAGCCGGGGGGGCCGCACATTTGCGTTTGGCCGGCGCCAAGAGGTTAAATGATTGTCCTGATTTACTAATGGAAGATGATATGTTACCGCCCCCCCAATTTAGCTTTGCTTTTGTTTTCCAGGCCGCCGCCACTGTCTGGGTGAACAGCTTGCCAGGATGGAGCTTTTCCTGTTCTTCACAACGCTTTCTCCGCCGCTTCCACCTCCGTTTTCCGCACGGCTCCGTACCGAACCTGAAGCCAAAGCTGGGGATGACCCTTCAGCCGTATCCGTACCTGATCTGTGCTGAGAAACGCTAGAGGTGGGGCCTGATGGGTCGCTGCTAGGGGCTGAGCTAGGAGATGAGGCGTGAAGAACGCCGGATATCTGACACGGGCGGCACCATATTGGTGCTTCCCGTGTATGTGAAACCTCCCAGGTCAGTAGGAAGCCGGCCAGCAGGTTGTCCTACATCTGGAAATGAGGACGTGGTGCTTGGTGAGCATGGCTAAGGGATCCCGCTCTCAGGGGTCACTTGTGTTGGGACTATTGACTTGTATTCTCTCCCAGTCTGGGCGGACATGTCCGGCTGTAAGGACCCCATAGAGGCCGTCCTGCCAGTCCTCATATTAGACCCTCATCTATCATAGGCTCATCAGAATTACATGGTAGAAATCTAAATGGCCTCCTCCAGCCGTACAGCTTGTAGGGTGTCCTCTGACCGGGAGAGAATACAAGTGTACAACTTCACGCACAGGCCAGGCTGCACCATAAATGATGATTTGACCCCTTCAGATTTCCTACGTTCGCCCACTTACACAGGAATGAAGGGTCTATAATTGCTGTCATAGATGTATATAAATAATAGAGACAGAATATCAACCAAAAATCCAGAAACAACAAACGATACAAATACAAATATTATCAGTGAAGTGCTTGGAGTTGTAGCTCAGTGAGTAAAGTGCTTGATCCCCAACCAACCAACAATGATTCATGGCTGTCAAAGGACCACAGACTAGGCACAAGGCTGTGGGCTACCCATGTGGTGAGAAGGAGACAACAGAGCGATTTATCAATGGAAGAAATACAAAATAACCAACATCCTCCTTGGTCTGGAGCTCCATGCAAGATTTGGCCTCATGGGGTAAGGATGATCCTGAGAAAAGTGAGGGATCAGCCCAGAACTACATGGGAGGAGCTTGTAAATGATCTCAAGGCAGTTGGGACCACAGTCACCAAACAAGCCATTGGTAACACAATACGCCGGCATGGACTGAAATCCTGCAGTGCCAGCAAGGTCCCTCTGCTCAAGAAGGCACATGTACAGCCCGTCTGAAGTTGGCCAATGACCATCTAGATGATTCAGAGAAGGATTGGGAGAAAGTGCTGTGGTCAGATGAGACCAAAATTGAGCTCTTTGGCATTAACTCGACTCGCCGTGTTTGGAGGAAGAAAAATGCTGACTGTGACCCTAAGAACACCATCCCTACAGTCAAGCATGGAGGTGGAAACATTATGGTTTGGGGCTGATTCTCTGCTAAAGGTACAGGACGACTTTTTCCACATTGAGGGGCCAATGGACAGGGCCATGTATTGTAAAATCCTGGATGAGAACCTTCTTCCCTCAACCAGAACACTGAAGATGGGTCTTCCAGCATGACAATGACCCAAAACACAATCGCCAAGGCAACAAAGGAGTGGCTCAAGAAGAAGCACATGAAGGTCATGGAGGGGCCTAGCCAGTCTCCAGACCTTATCCTAAAGGAAATTTATGGAGGGAGCTGAAAGTTTGAGTTCCCAAGCGACAGCCAAGAAACTTTCTTCAGGATTTAGAGAAGATCTGTAAAGAAGACCAAAATCCCTCCTGAGATGTCTGAAAATCTGGGAACCAACTACAAGGAACATCTCACCTCTGTGCTCGCCAACAAGGGTTCCTAAACCAACTACAAGGAACATCTCACCTGTGCTCGCCAACCAACAAGGGTTCCTCCACCAACTACAAGGAACGTCTCACCTCTGTGCTCGCCAACAAGGGTTCCTCCACCAACTACAAGGAACGTCTCACCTCTGTGCTCGCCAACAAGGGTTCCTCCACCAACTACAAGGAACGTCTCACCTCTGTGCTCGCCAACAAGGGTTCCTCCACCAACTACAAGGAACGTCTCACCTCTGTGCTCGCCAACAAGGGTTCCTCCACCAACTACAAGGAACGTCTCACCTCTGTGCTCGCCAACAAGGGTTCCTCCACCAACTACAAGGAACAAGGGTTCCTCCACCAACTACTCACCTCTGTGCTCACCAACAAGGGTTCCTCCACCAACTACTAAGCTCACCAACAAGGGTTCCTCTACTAAGTGTGTTGCTCGAGGATCAAATACTAATTTTACTCTCTGAACTGCGACTCCATTTATAAAATTTGTATTGTGATGTATCTGGATTTTTGGTTGATCTTCTGTCCCTAACATTTATATTCACCTATGATAATTCTAGACCGATCTTTTCTGTGTAAGTGGGGCGAACGTACACAATCTGCCGGGAGTCAAGTCATTATTTTCCCCTCTGTAAGTAGAGGTTCAGATTCTTTCCCATGCCCATTCCTGACTGGTTGTATCTCCAAACTCCTCTGAAGCTTAGAAATGCACCGAAAGGTTATGACAGTCCAAACGGGTCCAAAAACCGGTTATTTTGTGACGCAAATCCCATAAAACACTCAAAAAGTGTCCTTGAAAATTGCTGACTGAACCAAATCCTCAATCATTTGTGTCTCATGTCTCCTAAACACTGCAGCTCACAATGGGAGGAGTTTCAATGCTGTCACTCTAGCTAGCAGTGGGCGGGGCTAAGTGTGGCCAGGTGCTGTGTGGGAAGGCTGATGGCCACACCCTCTGCAATGTCCACCTTGGAGAAGATCTTCTGGCCAGTTCCATGAGACCCCTCAGTCATGTGACCAGTGCCCAGGCCATGCGGCTGTAACCTGGGTGGATGGAAATGCTGACTTCTCATTGGTGGTTTTCCAGGGCTGCCAGCTTGATACTGGCTTCACTGTGTGGTAAGCGAGTCACATTAACCCTTTCATGCTGCCCTTGAAGTGGGCTTTGGTTGGCTGTCGCCGCGGTCACGTGATTAGGAGGGCGTCCGTTCTCTCCTGATGAGAAGCCTTGACCTAGAGCGGCCGGTGATCGCTCCGCCAGTGTGCAGGGAGCGCGCTCTGAGCACCTGGACCCCACGCCCCCCATAGACGCAAATGTCTGCCATTTAACTGCCACTGTCGGGTCCTGCAGCTGCCAGGAGTGCATGCAAATGTGACGGGCCAGCGGGGATTCCTGCCGTAACCGCCTGCCTCTGCTGCACCAAAATCCCAAAGAATGTTGGAGGAGTGCAGAACACCCCCATCTCCATAACATACAGGGGGGGGAGAGGCAGGGGATTGCTGACAACACTGCCTGGGATTTCGGGGCAGCAGAGGTGGCGTTGTCAGCTCAATACAGGAAGTTTGGAACTCAATGTTTCACACTTCCTGCAGTGCCAAGCTCCGCCTCTATGCTTCCGGCAGGGCCGAGCCCCCTCCCTCACACCTCCTGCTGTGGCTAGCCCCTCCCCCCCCACACCCCCTGCAGAGCGGGGTCCTGTCTGCTGGTAGCCAGGTTTGGATTTCCACCTTTTACGAAAACTGGAAGGAAAGATATTGCCCCGCCCCCTCCCATATTGACCTCTATCTCATCCAATCAGAGAGGAGTTGCGGGTTCTCCGTGTCATTTTCTCCCACAATCATGATTTTGTTTTTTATGTGAACCTTTCCGGAACCCTTCGGGTGGAGAATCCGACATTCACCCAACATCCTCTGCGGGTGAATCTTTCAGGTCCACGTGTGTTTTATGGTCACATGGATTCACCACCAGAGAGTGTTGGGTGAAAGTCCCATTCTCTGCATCTTCCTGTGTTTTATTGTCTGTATGTAATATGTACTCCACATCCGTGTACTCCATCCATCCATGTACTCCATCCGTGTACCAGACTCCTATTTATAGACTCTCATTATTCATATTTTCTGTTCAGATTTTGTAATAACAAAATAAAGATTTTTACTCAGCGGAAGTCTGGCTTTCTTCTCATCGGTGAGTCAAATCCAGTGATTGTGTACAGGAGCGCAGCGTGACGTGTACGGTATGACGTGTGCAGTAGCGCAGCATGATGTGTACGGAATCACGTGTCCAGGAGCTCAGCATGACGTGTACAGGAGCTCAGGGTGACGTGTACGGAATCACGTGTCCAGGAGCTCAGGGTGACGTGTACAGTATGCCGTTTCCAGGAGCTCAGGGTGACGTGTAAGGTATGACGTGTACAGGAACTCAGCGTGACATGTAAGGTATGACGTGTACAGGAGCTCAGGGTGACATGTACGGTATAACGTGTCCAGGAACTCAGCGTGATGTGTAAGGTATGACATGTACAGGAGCACAGCGTGCCACGTACGGTATGACGTGTACTGGAGCTCCGGGTGATGTGTACGGTATGACGTACAGGAGCACAGCGTGAAGTATATGGGAACTCAAAGTGATGTGTGAAGAACAGGAGTTTGAAGTGACGTGTACAGTATGACGTGTAAAGGGGCTCAGTGTAATTTGTATGGTATGACGTGTACAGGGACTCGAGCGGTGTACGGTATGACGTGTACAGGAGCTCAGCGTGACATGTACGGTATGACGTGTACAGGAACTCAACATGTCATGTACAGTGTGACGTGTATAGGAGTGCAGTGTGGCATGTCCAATGTGATGTGCCCAGTGTGACATGTATGGTATGACATTTAGTGGAGCCCAGCGTGACGTGTCTAGTATGACGAGTACAGGAACCCAGTGTGACATGTAGAGGAGCTCCGCATGATGTGTACAGTATGACATGTACAGGAGCTCAGCATGATGTGATATATATGGGAGCTCAAAGTGACGCATGAAGAATGACATGTACAGGAGTTTGAAGTGACGTGTGTAGTACGATATATGCAGCAGCACAAAAGGACATGTACGGTATGTGTACAGGGACTCAAGATGTGTACGATATTTGTACAGCAGCTCTGACTGACATGTACGGTATGACATACAGGAGCTCGGTAACGTGTACAGGCGTTCAGTGCGAATTGTTTGGTATGATGTGTACAGGAGCTCAGCGTGACGTGATGTATGAGATCTCAAGGTGACTTGTCCGGAACGACGGTATACAGGACTTTGAAGTGATGTGTACGGTATGACGTGTACAAGGGTTCGATGTGATGTGGACGGGTGTGACATGTACAGGGGCTCAGAGTAATGT